ACATAGTGACTCCCAGTCGCCTATCCTGGAGAGATGTCATGTTATGTTTCCAATGCTCCTCGGGTTCCATCAGTGCATCCTGTGTCCACAGGCCTTGACTTGGGTGTGAGGTTGGTGGGGGTGCCAGTGCTGTCCAGACTGCTGCACCCTTGAGGGATTTGTCAGAGGACCAGCTCAAAGTCCTAGTGTTTGCTGGACTTCTGCAAGTTCTCCTGATTTCATTTGGCTTTGCCTCCCTTTCCCAAGCCCTTTCCTCCTCCCTGCACCCTGGTGGCACTTACTAACGTGCCTGGCTGCTAACGAACTGAAAGGCTCACAGTCTAAACCCACTCTGTGACTCTGTTATGAGTCAGCATTGACTGAGCGGCACACACCTATAGGGAATATGCTCCGCACCGCCACGGGCCCATACCTAGTGCGAAGAGGTTTTCTTCCCCCCCTGCACCAGCCTGAATTTATTTATTTATTTTTAACACCAAGGTTCTGGGTTCTGAGATTTGTACTCTCATCCCCTCCACACCACCACTCTGAGCTTCTTTCAGAGACTCTTACTGACCTGATACTTCTGCCTTTGAATACTGGCCCTTCTGCCTGGAAACCCCCATGCTTCCTGCGTAGCTGGTTTCTTTTCATTCATCACATTTCAGCTCAAACATCACTTCTTCAGCAGGGCCTTAACTAGCCATGCTTTTTAAAGAAAGTTCTACTGTGATTCTGTTACTACTTCCTGGCTGTTCTCACAACCATCTTAATAATTACTTACGTATTTGTCCTGCTTACTTTGGGATCACAATACAATAGCACTTTGATTTGCACTTGCCATGTGCCAGACTCATGGATTACCTCGTCATATAACCACTACGAGAGGGGGGCACTGTTCTTGTTACCACTTTAGAGATGAAACTGAGAATAGAGAGGTTACACACCTTGCCTATAGCCACAGAGCCATGAAAAGTGGGCCAACATTTTTAGTTAGCAGTGTAATCCTCGACACACACCACCAAAGCTCCTCTGGGCCAGCTTTTGCTGTTTTGTTTTGTTGTTTTTTTTTCAGGGGAAAGAGCGCAGGCACGTCTCCACTACCACAAATTATGCAGGCGAGTTTTCAACATTTGGGGGAAATCACAGAGGTCAGCACACCTGGATTGCAGTGAGTAATGTCTCACCCAGTGAAATTCTCCTTCAGGACCATGGTATCTCCCCTGCCAGGTAAGGACGGGGCCAACATTTTTAATCACTATACTATGCTGATCTCTTAACACCTTCTCCTATTCTGATCTCACTTGTAGGCTATGAAAGTTAATCAGAACTGTATTCCAGGCCCCAATTACAATGCAGGGCACTAAATGAGTGTTCTATAAGCAAAAATGAAAACATTCAAAACAATACTGGGTAATTTCTCTACTTATACCCCTGAACCACCTCTTCTTCCCCACCAGTCCCGAGACCAGGGCCCAGATCCCAAAGGTTTTCAACATATCCAGAACACTGTGAGCCAGAAGAAATTTTTGCATCTACCAGGCTCTGTCCCTTCCGTTCACCAAAGGAGGTGAACCTCTCCACATTCTTTCCCCTACCTTATAAAAAAACAATCTAAGGAGTGAGGTCAGTCTTAAGAGGTCAAGGTCAAGCAGAAGAGAAAGGTTAGTACTCTGCTGGCTGGAACTCTGATGGAAGCCTAGGATGTCCTGCTCTACCTTGCAGCACAAATACCCTCCCGTCAATGCCCAGAGCGTCTGGCAAACTAACACCTGGATTATATGCCTAAGGCACATCAGAAAACACAGATCCCACTGGCAACTAAGCCACTCACATACTGAGGCCTATAGACCGGGTCTCTGATATGACTTTGGGAAGTAGAGAAAGTCTTTCTGTAAAACACAGTGGGCTTTCTGGTCAGTACTTGTTTCTGGTTATCTCCCAGCACCCACTCCCCCAAATCCTGGACATCTCTGGCATAAGACATCCCAAGAATCTCGAACACTGTGCTGAGAAGCATACAGGAAAGCAGCACAGACAAATGTCACAAGGGTTATGAGTGAGCAAAAGGACTACACTCTGGCCTGGCCTAACACAGGTTTCAGGATGAGGAAAGACTGGGGGTGGGCTTTGGAGATGGAATCATTGGAAGAGGCAGAAGCAGAGGAAATGACAAGTGCAAATAATACTGAAAACAAGAGCTAACATTTAACTAGAGCTTACTCTGTTATGTGCTGATGACACATCAATAAACATACTTAGTCTTTGGTGCTGGGCTAAGTATTTAACTTCTCACACAGTCAACATGCTTGGCACCAGTCGTCAGGAGATTAGGAGATGTATAGCGCTGAGAAAAACTGCTGCAAGGGCCCTTTCCAAAGTCATAAGGAACAGTGATTTCACTTTAAAGAGTAAGGTGTACCTGATTAAAGTTAGGGTCTTTCCAATCACCTGCTATGCATCTGAGAGCTAGACAATGAATATGGATGACAGAAAAGAATTGATGCCTTTGCCTTTGGTGTTCAGGAAAGAGTACTGAATAAACTGCTGAAAGAACAGGTATGTCTTTGAAAAAGTGAAGATAGTGCGCTCCACAGAGGCAAGGATGGTGAAGTTTTGTCTCATATACTTTGGGCATGTTGTTAGGAGAGACTACTGCTTGGAAAGGGGCATCATACTTGGAAAGACTGAGGGTCAGCAAAAGAGAGGATGGCCTTCAGTGAGATGGGATGATAAAGGGACTGCGGCAATGGGTTCATGTGTGTCAGGGATAAGGATGGCAGAGGATAAGATAGGGTTCAGAGCTGTTGTTCATAGGGTTGCTATGAGTTGTAATCAACTCCAAAGCACCAACTACTATCACCTTATAAGGGAGCTCTGGTAGCCTAGGGGTAAGAAGCTGCACTGCCAACCAAAAGGCAGGTAGTTTGAATCCACCAGCTGCTCCACAGAAGATGGGGACTCTTCTCCCATGTAATTTATAGCTTCTGAAAACCCACAGGATGGTCAGTTATGAGTTAGTTCCGACACAGCAACTTTATGAGACAGGCTGGTGGGTTAATATATCTTATGAAAACCCAACTCAGAGGTATTGAATAATTTCCTAAAACAATCCAGTAATTAACAGACTAGGATTCAAACTCAGGTTTGACCAGCTCCAAAGTTCACCATACTATGTGTATGAAGTGCTGGGGGGAGAGCTGATGTGAGGGAAAGAAATGTCACGTTTAGGGTTTGAATGCTGTCCTACAAGGGGGGGGAGATCATGTACTGAGAGCAGTATTTTTAAGAAAAATGACCTACTATGTTTAAGGAGGATGATGGGAAGGGTTTTCTGGGAGCCCTGTGCCCCCAGATGCTCTACAATGGGGCAGGCAGCAACAGGAGTGAGCAAGGCCAGGAGAAATGAGTTAAACAAATGCCAGTACATTGGCAAGATGCTCACCTCCAGATTTAAACAAACTGAGATCTTCCTTTGTGTCTAGTCAGTGTACAGAAGTAAAAAATAAGTGCGGACAACATGCCAAATCCTGTTCTAAGGCACCTCTGCTTCTCCTTCCTTCCCCTCCTCCCTCTACGGCTCCTACAACCCAGCACCCACAAATCGTCTAGCACCCACAAATCGTCTCTTTCCTCTCCTCCACTCTCATGAGGGAGATCACCAGTTACTCTTACTTCTTTGCCTTAAAATCCTAAACTGTACAATCATTGTTGTAGTTGTTGTGTACCATCATGTCAGAATCGACCCACAGCTGACCCTCTGGCGGGCTTTCAGAAACAATCAAACGGGAGGAGACTGCCCATCCTTCTCCTACTGAGCATCTGATGGATTCAAACAGCGTGTCTTCTAGATCACAGCAGAGCTCCTTGCAACTAGAGCTCGCTACAATCATTACATTTTAAATTCAATACATTTTCTATTTTAAAGGTATTAATTTTCACTGGTTTAAGGGGCTCTGGTGGCCTAGTGGCAAAGAGCAACACTGCCATCCCAAAGAGATACAGTTTCAATCCACTAACTGCTCCCACAAAAAAAAGATGGGCAATTTCTCCCATGTGATTAAACTGTCTCTGAAAACTAGCTGGAGGGTCAACTATGATCGACAATACACCATAACAACAACTTTTCACTGGTTTAATTCACCACATAAACAATAACTGACTTTTGAAAACAAAATTCTCTTCAGAAGGTGAATCATGTGGCTGTTTATGCCTCTCTCCAGCTACCAAACACAAGGCGACCAGTACCACCTCAAACTCTTGGCATTAGGTTGGAAGAGGAACTCACTTATCAGCAACTTTGTCCTTCACTATTACCCGAGTACAGGGAGGAGGCCGAGGCTGGAATTAGGGAAATCTGTAGGTCAGTAAGTCAGATGCATCTGCGTACCATCAACTCCACTTTGGAGGATGCCCGCTGAGAAGAAAGGGGAACTCAACTTCTCAACACTCTTGTGCTAAGAAATCTAACCGAAGAGGCCCTGAGGAAGTTGATTTATTAGCCAAATACGCATGTAAGTACTTCCAGACGTGGGGGGATACCTCTTGCTCTCCCAAACACTGTTGTCAGAAGACCCCGAGCAGCCAGTGCTTTGGAGTTGGGAGGAAAGCCTAGCTCAACAGGCGCAGCAATTCTGTATGAGCCCAGCCCTCAGGTCAATGCAAAGACTTAACTATCCCAAAGACCTACAAAGGTGGGGGAGGGTGCAGGCATTTTCCGGCTCTGCGTCTCTAAGCATCAGTAGGTAGACTTTCTGGCTACGCCAGAGTGAAGAAGCTGGTACGAGCACACCCTACAACAGGTAGGGAGAGACTTCCTCCTTCCAAACTACGCTTGCCCAACCCAGGATGAGGCAGCACACGACAAGGAGGACCACCGAGGGGTTTGTGTTTGGGCCGCGCCGAGGACAGCTACCATCAACCCCATATTCCCAGCGAGGCCCCTCAGGCTGGTTTCTGGTTTCCTGACCAGACCCCCCATCTCGGCCTTCCAAGGCCCCCAAGATCGGCCCGCGGCTCACCCTCGAGGGTTTCACACTGCACCAGGTTGAGGTAGTCGGCCTGGCTGAGCACCCCAGCTTTCAGGCCGCGCACCAGCCCCTCCAAGTAGCCATTGTCCACGTTGAAGTAAAGCTCTGGGAAGGACGACATGGCTGCAGAGGGGACAGTGGGCCCGAAGAACCCAGACCAGAGGATACGCAACGCCAGGCGACTCCACCGATCAGCTGACACAGGGCCCGCAGCAGACTGTCAAGAGCGTCAGGTGATGCGTAAACTGTTCACGTGACGACAACCGGGCGGGCCTCTAGCTGGCGCCCGGCTTCCGGGTGGCGTCGTGCGAAAGCTGTGCGCAGACGTGGGCTGGAACATGCCCTCTAGCGCCTGCGCACTGAGGGGAGGCCCGCCTCTAGTGCCCTAGCGAGCGATCTACTTGGAGTACCCGGAGCCGGCCGCGTGAGGGCGTCCATTGTTTCTAAGAGCGAGTTTTCCCAGGTCTTGTCTGCTGGTAGGCAAGCGGCCCGCGAGGTAATGAACAAGTGGGTAGTGGGTCTTATACCTGGAAAAACGCCAGACTTGAAATTGAGTCAGCTTCCCCCACCTACCCCTCGAGGAAAGTGAAGTCCATGGACGGGCAGGCCTGCCAGCGCTCACCCGGCCCTGGACCTTAGCCATTTAGAGTTCCTTTCCTGCGCCCCTGCCTTTATTGTGCAAGAATCTGGAGCGCGACTCTCCTCTGCACCTCTAGCGCGTGTGGCTCCCTAAAACTGCACGCATGTGTAATCAGAGGTAGTAGAGGCCTAGGTGTTTAAGTGTGTGGAGTTTCTTGGCAGCATCCTCACCCCTGCGATACCACCTCTTTCCCCAAACCACCATTCATCTCCGGTGCTCACGGTTAAAATAACGCAACAGCCTTGTCGGTTCCAGCCTTTATTCGTTCCCCGATGTCCCTGCCCCTACCCCCGCGTTGGCCAGCTAGGTGCGGCTGCAGGGATGCGTGGCAGTACCCAGTTTGCGGCAGTAGCAGAAAGCATTGAAGAAGCGACAGTAGCACGTGGCGCACGGGTCACAGCAGGGCATCTGGTGTCCCAGGCAGGATTCTTGCAGCCTCACGCAGCGGCGTGGAGAGCGTGGCTCTCGGTCCTGCGGGTCTAGCGCCTGCGGTGACAGGGAGGCGAGCACATACTGGCTTTTGAGGGCAGGTCCGGGAGCCCCACAAACCCCAACCTGGGTATAGGACAGCTGTGGATTTTAATTGCCTGCTCCAAGGAGCAAGGTCTGGGAAGGAATGAGCATGGTGCCTCCCCAGGGTTGCCCTGCCACCTCACCCATTTCCCTAAGTGGTTTACCTCGGCCTGCAGCAGAGCCTCTTCTGCCTGTTCTGCGGCTGTCCTCTTCAGAACGGGCTCCAGGCCCAGACCTGGGACAGAAAATGTGAGAGCAGAACCCTCACCACCACCACCATCCCCGTGTACTTACACGCATCTTCCCAGGTCTGGAATTGGGAAGAGGGAAGGAGCGTGCGTACCAGGTGGGGTAGTGTGTGGTCGGAGGCCCCACACAGTCCAGCCCTGCTTACACTGACCTGGGAACTCGGGGAACAGTGCCTGGTCAGGCCTTCTGATGCCCTCCAAGGGGGCCAGGCCCATCTGGGCCCCCTGCATGGTGGGCAGTACCTGCAGCAGGGCACAGCTCAGCAGCACTGTCCTCAGCATGACCTGGCTCAGTAGGGAGAGGCACCATATAGTCCCTTTACATCTTTGGAGGCCCTCTAGTGCCCCCTCGGCCCCCAATTGCTTGAGTTCTTGCCCAACCTGAGAACTTACCTCTGTTCACTGGGTCACTGTCCAGAGAGTTCCCGGCCACTCTTTTTCCTCTGCTTATATGGTAAGACCTAATGAAGGGGCCTCACGTGACTGCTCCCTGCAGCTGGAGCGAGGGGCCCTCTCTTAAGGGTGGGGACAGTGGTGGACCCCTCTTCCTGGGCTTTGGGCCTTTGAGTGCTCTACAAGAGAGATGCCCCAATTTGGGGTGAGGTCCCCAGGAGCCAATCAAAGTGTTGGGAAGACGGTAGGATGCCCAGAGCCCCCAAATTTATTATGGACAGGGGCTTTGAGGGGTGGGCCAGGCTGGAGCCATTAACTATATAATAAGGCAGGCGGCCCTGAGAGCTTTAATTTAATTTACCGCCCCGGAGATGCTCACTCAGATCATGCGTGGTATGTTCTGTTTCATTTGCTTCCAGGAACTTGGATCAAGGGCATCAAAGGGGAGACGGACTAGTGGCCAGAAATAGGTGAGGGAGGGTATAGACTCAGACACTAGGTTTTCCTTGGAGGGAGAAAGAGGGAGATGCCCACCCAGCCAAAGCGGATCTTCTGCCTACATCTCAGCTCCACTTGCCTTCTCCCTTCTCGCTCCAGGCTTCTCCAAGACTCTCTCCCCTGCTCCTGCCCCCAGCCCCTTTCCACCTGGAATTCCTGGAAGCTAAGGAAGTGGAACTGACTGTTCCCTGGGTGGGCGAGCAGCTTTGGAGTAAAAAGCTTTCAGGCCGCCTGCCTCATTAGTGCTAATGTCCACCTCCTTCCGCTCTGCATTGTCAAGCCTCTGACCAAGCTAGACTGGGAGAGTAGGGGCTGGAGAGTGAGGGGGAGGCCCAACTCTTCATGGAAATAGGAGGCCCTCATTTGTTCCTGCTTTCGCTGGTCTCTTTGGGGCTATTGGTTGAGCCAGTGTTGAGGCTTTAATGTACAAACTGGGCTGCCTCCACACAGCAGGAAGTGGATGAAGGCATTTGGGGCTGAATGCCCAAGTTCATGTGGACCATTCTGACCATCAAGAGGCCAGAGAGGTCCTTTACCAGCAGGTGAAAACCAAATGCTACCATTAAACAACTTTTGGCTTGCCCAAGGGCAGTACTAACAAAAGTGTCGACATTCTGACCCCATGGGCCTCTGCAGTAGGTAGCCTGAGGGAGTATTCTCCCACCTGTCGTTGCTGGTGTCACCTCTGGTAAGGCTAGCAGTGGTCTCGAATCGAACACCTGTAGTTGGATCAGGTTAACAGTCTTAAGAGCTCTTGGTGCCCAGAGGAGGAAGCAGAGGACCCAGAGATTGTCTCTGAGGAGATAGTCGCTGAAGGAGGATCTAATACAGAATCCAGCGTCCCTTCCTCTGGAGAATGGTACTGGCAGTGTGGTGACTCTATCACAAAGCAGATGTGATGTGAAGGTCCTTCTGGCAGCCTTTCCCTTCCAGAGGCTGCAGTGTGGCTTGGTGGCTCAGCCTAGACCTTTCTCTTCTCAGAGTGGTGCAGAGTATGTTGTTGTGCCCTCTACCTGCAAATCGTCTTGCTTGGTCACCTCCGTTGCTGGGGAGCTCTGGTGGCTTAGTGGTAAGGACTTGCACTGCCAACCCAAAGGCATGTTTTTGAATCCACCAGCTGCTCCATTGGAGAAAGATGTGCAGTCTCCCCCCACATGTTTTACTGCTTCTGAAAACCTGCTGGAGGGTCAGCTATGGACTGGTTCCAGCTTAACAGGACATGACACCAACCGACCCCAGCGTTGGAGATTCTGGCTTAGAGATGGACATAGGGGGCGTAAATTGCATGTGGGTTTTGGAAATGTGTCTAACTTGAGGTGGGGATTCTGGGCACCTGGCTGGGCCTAGTCAGCATTCATACTAAGGAACAACCCAGAAAAGGAGGGTGAGAATGGTTATACAACTCAAAGAATGTAGTTAGTGACACACTATACATGTCAAAACTATTGAATTGGTGTACATTTTGCTGTGTAGCATCAATGACACCAACATTGAAAGGGAAAAGCTCACACACAATGGGTGGAACACTGTTTGACAGTTCCTCAGAAAATTAGTTAAACATAGAACTGTCATGTGACCCAACAATTGGGAATAGCTCTGCCAACACGAAGGTATGCAGTTTGGATCAACCAGCCACTCTGCAGGAGAAGAATAGGCCATCTCCTCCTGTGCGATTGTACTGCCTCTGAATACCCGCTGGAGGGTCAGCTATTGGTTGGGTTCTGACTTGATGGCACACAACATCAACTTGTTTTAGTTACCTCCTTCTGTAAAAGAAATACAAGTGGATGGCTTTAACAAACAGAAATGGACTCTCTCTGGCTAGATGTCTGAAGGGCAGGTTCTCATTTCCTCTTGGTTTTGGAGGAAGTCCTTGTCTGCTTTCAACACCTGTGGACCAAGGGACCATAAGAGATCTCTGTGTCTTGACCTACCCCTGTTTTGAGGAAGCTCCCAGTACAGGAACCTGGATCCAAGGATGCACTCCATCCCTGCCTCTTTTTTTCTTGGTTGTATTGAGATCCTTTACTTCTGTTCACTTTTCTTGCCTTTTCTCTCTTGTAAGATAAAAGGTGGTGTAAGTCAGGGAGCTCTGGTGGCCTAGTGGCAAGAAGCTGCACTGCAATCCCAGAGGTACGCGGTCCGAATCCACCAGATGCTCTGCTGGAGAAGGAGGGGCAATCTCTTCCTGTACCAGTCAGATCCAAGTTGATGGTGGTTGTTGTTGTTATGTGCTGTCGAGTCACTTGCGACTCATAGCAACCCTATGTAGAACAGCCCTAAACTCTACTCTGTCCTGTACGAATCGCACTGTCTCTGACACTCCCATCCCGATTACCCCAGTCACTGAATCAATCCACCTCATAGAGGGCCTTCCCCTCCTGTGCTGTCCCTCCACCCTACCAAGCATGATGTCCCTCTCTAAGGACCGGTCCCTCCTTACAACATGTCCAAAGTATGTTAGATGGGAGTCTCAGAATCGTTGCCTCCAAAGAGCAGCCCAGTTTAACCCTTTCCAGGATGAATCTGTTTCCCTAGTAGTCCATGGTACCCTCAATACTCTCCTTCAGCACCACAGCTCAAAGGCATCAATTCTCCTTCTATCCTCCTTAGTCATTGTCCAGCTCTCTGTTGCATAACAAGTGATCACAAAGACCATGGGCTGTATCAGACACACCTTAGCCTTCAGAGAGACACCATTGCTCTTCAGTACTTTGGAGAGGTCCCTAACAGCAGACTTTCTCGTGGCAATACGTCTTTTAATTTCCTGGCTACTGGTGCCAAGAGTGTTGACTATGGAGCCAAGCAAACTAAAGATTTGATGGTACACACACACAAAAAATTTTTTTTAACATAAAAGGTGGTGTAAGTCGTGAATCAGAAAAAATTTCCTTCATCATGATGGGACTCTTGTAGGAATAAGAGTGTTGCATCCCAGTGTCACTGGGCTAAACTGCTGCCAAAGACCCCTTTCAAGTGCTAAAGAATAAGGATCTCACTTTAAAGACTAAGGTGTGCCTGACCCAAGCCGTGGTATTTTCAATGAAATGGTGACTATGCCCGTAGACTTCACCAGATAGAATTCACAGACATAAAATCAAGTGCATCTGTACAAAAAGAAGATGGGGAAGCTCAATACCATGGATCAAAACCAAGAATAGGAACCAACTCTAGAACCGACTGTCAGTTGCTAATATGTAAGTTCAAATTGAAACTAAAGAAAATAAAAAGAGCCAAGAATGACCTTGAGCATATCTTGCTTGAACTTAGAAACCATCTCAATAATAGAGGTGGTTTGTTTTGTTTTGTTTTCCTTGTTGTGTACCGTCTAGTCGGATCCGACAGGCACAGGAGGAGATTGCCCCTCCTTCTCCAGGAGAGGATCTGGTGGACTTGAACCGCCCACCTTTGGAATTGCAGCGCAGCTAGATGTGATGTTTTTGGGTTGTTTGGTTTTTTGGATTCCCCCCCCTTTTTTTTTTATTTTAATGAAAGTTTCTAAAGAACTTGGATTTCCATTCATTCATTGTTGCACATTTGCCTCCCTGTCCCCCTTCCCCACCAGTTCGCTTTTTTCTCTGGAAAAAGGTGTGATGTTTTGAACACAAATGACAGATGATGAGAACAATTGTAGGCTGACATAATTAACATAAATGAAGATGCAAAATAATTACTAAAAGGAAAAGAACTAAAGGCCAAAACTATTGTCAGAATAGACTTTGAAATTTGATCTTAAACCAGAGAAGATAAAGGAAAAAGGGGGGGGGAATGATGGAGCGAGCTGAGCGCAAGGTTTCAAGAGGTTGTTCACGGAGACAAAGTCAAGTATTTTCATGAAATGTACAAAGATCTGGAGTTAGAAAACCAAAATGGAAGAACATATTCAGCATTTCTCAAGTTGAAAGAACTGGGAGATAACCTTCAAAAAACCCTTGTGTTACAATAATGAAGGATACTACACTGAATACAAAATATTGAATGATGCATAAAACATCAAAATAAGATAGAAGACTTCTGGCAAGATGGCCAACTAAGGCAGATGACCACCTTTACCGGTGGTGGTGGTCGCGTGTGCCGTTGAGCTAAAACTGACTCTAGCTGACCCTCAGTGGGTTTTCAAAGGCAGAACATCTCTATCTACAGAGTATACTTTTATGTTGTCATCGCTGGGATTAGAACGCTTGTGATTTTTAAATTTTGTATTTTATATTGGTTTGCATATGCCATTGATATACATTGTGTTTCACACTTTCTGTCATTCTCACTGTGTTTTGTACAATCTTTCCCATACATTGTATTTTATAAAATTAATCCCCATTGACATATGCCCACATTACCTCATCTTTTCGGGTCCCCACTGGATCTTTCTCATTTTCATTACCACCTCCCTC